TATTTAGTAGCTGAAATCCTATTGATTAGTATAGCAAATCACAATATGGTAGGCTGTTGAATTGGCAGGGGTTTAATGATTCAAATGTCCAATGCTAGAGCAACTTATGACACTAAGCAACAGGATTTCAGCCACTGCATTACTTTCACGCCTCTAGTTCATTTGAAAATATGTTTTACATTGCTTTCCTCGATGCCAAAATAGCTAGTTTACAGTCTGTCTATTACTACTTGCATCTTAAGAGGGGCATTCTGTGGGAAAGGAAGCCGAAACTGGGAAATTAGATTGTGCTGTTGTCTTTCTGTCTCTCTGTTTAAAGCTAGCCAGGCAGGTAACTGTAGATTCCCTCGCAGTCAGTAGGGGGCAGGGGTGGGATTTGGGGAAGCCGTAGCCCCCAAAAGTAACTTTTTCCAAACTACTGTTGGCAGCTGTATGAAAAATATTTTGTGACACTTTCCATGCTTTTGTCCAGGATTATCAGGTGATGTTTCATTAGAGGAAGAAAATGGTCTCCTCATTGCAGAAGATCTCTCCAAGGTTTTAAAAGAGACACCACGGTTTGAGAAAGTTACTTTTTTAAGATGGCCACCCTCAAAATTCCTGAAAGCCATTAGCTATGCTGGATGGGGGCTTAGGGGATTTGTAGTACAAAACAAATTTTTCCAAGCTCTGATAGGCCATTGTAAAAAAAATTTTTGTGACACACCCCAACATTTGGTATGGGATTCCACCAACCCCTCTTGCTTGTTTGAGTTTTATTCTCCCCCATGCCTAATTTCTCACTCCCTATTGATTGCCCTTCAGATTCCTTCAACTTTCTGGTGCCCAACTGAGCTGGTGGTCAACGGACAAAGAGAGTCCTTCCCCCTGCCTCCATCACCGATGCCAGTGCACTTCTCCAACAGCATTGGTCTTCGTTACGAAGCAGAACATGTCCGCCAGTGTCTCCTCCAAGGTGCTGATTTCAGATATTGCTGGCTTGTTTGATGAAGCTGTGGCTACTAACTGCATATCTTTATAACTTTATTTATTGGGTTTAATAACAGAGTTGCGAGATGAGGAAAAAGTGCAGAACAAACATATATGGCTGTTTTGTAGGTATACTAACTGCTATAAAAACCAATTTTGTTATTGTTATTCGTTGGTCTCTAAATACTTTTGGTGCCATGTGGCCTCCTGTCCACTGGAGGTGCTGTGTCTGCCCTCGAAGACCAGGAAATGAGAAATATCAGGTATTGCTTTCCCCAGCCTATACAGATTTCCATGGCTCTGCAACCAAGGGTCAGAGTTGGGGAAATTACTTTTTTGGATTACTGGAAAAGAACCTCTAAATCTCCCACTGTGCTGGACCGTAGATCCTAAGAGTTGGAGTTTCATTCTGCCAACGGCAAGCAGAAATGCTTCTTGTGCTTGCCTTTACTTGCTTGTCATGAAATACAGCCTGAACGGTGCCCTTGACTAAGCTCTTGCAAGTACTGGTCCAAAGGGACTTGGGTCTCACATAATCTGTCATTTGCCTGTCATGCTGACATGTTCTTGTTTGAACTCCAAGACACAGCATTTGGACCTCAGCAAATTCTTAACAGAATCTGGCCATGAAGAACCAGAATCTCCACCTTGGGGGGCACTGTTGCAGAGGTGGTCACCTCTGAGTACTCTGTCTTAACTTGGTCTTCCCTCTTCCTGCTCCATTTTTAGGCTTGAAGGAAAGCCCAGTTCTGACTCACGCAGACAGTGCACTGATCAACTCTATCCTAGATGAAATTCGCCGGCAAGTAGGGGTATTGTATGCTCAAGATGACATGGAACACATTCCCAATTCTTTCGTCTGAAATCTCAGGTTCCCTACATCGCTTGCTTAGCTAAAAAGTCCGCACAGATTTACCCAGTTTCTGCAGAAAGCCTTCGACTGTGTGAATTGAGAAGAAGTGAAGGTGGGGAAGACATTAGGGCACGTAAAATTGTCAATAAACTGTTTTCCAAATCCTAGACTATGAGTTTTGGAATGACTTTGAACATATGAGGAGGGCTGCATAGGAGAATATTGCCCCGAAAAAGGAAAAAGAGTAAGAGTGGGAATCAGGGAGAGGGACAAAGTTTGGAATGATGGGCCTAGGAGATGCAGAAAAACAGCATGAGTTGTAGTAGAGCTGGTAGTAGCTCTGTGGATGTAGAGCCAGCAAATGGGAGTTCAAATCCTCACTGTTCCTCCTGTAAAATATGTGAATTGAGATCAACTGATGGATGTGTGGCTTGAGGGGGTTGTGCGCCCTGGTGCCTGTGGGACCTTTGGCAAGCATTTGAGTGTGCTATGATCTTGGCGGAAAATAGCAAAGTGCAGACTTCCAGATATTGTTGGAGACAGCACCGAATGATGCACTGGAAGTCCTACGACAACAAAATGAACTCTACTAATAGGAAGGAAACCAGCCCTGCCTCCAGGCATAATGCTAACAGTTGCCTACCTCTCTCTTTCAACCTAGCAGTTTGAAAACATGTAAATGTGAGTAGATAAATAGGTACCACCTTGGTGGTAAGATAACAGCGTTCCGTGTCTAGTCGCACTGGTCATGTGACCACGGAAACTGTCTATGGACAAATGCTGGCTCTATTGCTTGGAAACGGGGATGAGCACCGCGCCCTAGAGTCGGACATGACTGGATTAAATGTCAAGAGGAGCCTTTACCTTTACTTTTACCTCATTTAAAGACAGTCTTGAGTTACTGTGCTTAGAATCAAGTGTTCTTAAAAGTGCACTCCAACCCAGCACAGATAAAAGTGGGACACAGTTTGGTTAATAGTTTGGTTTATTAGAAAAATTCTATCCTCTTTTCCTGTTTTCCAAGTGGGATGTGTTGCAAACCGAACACCCTGTTCCTTCCACCTTCTCCTTCAGAATAAGTGTTCAGCAGACCATTGCATCATCCAACAAACTGTGGGAAATCAGGCAGAATTGCTTAGGCTCCCACTTAGGGGAGGACATGATGTGGAGAGGATTAGTCCTCAGCTAAAATTGCCAGCTCTCATAACACTGCTCAGATCTCAAGGCAAGTAGCACAGGTGGAGAAGGAAGTTCAGTTTTAGAGCTGTTTTCACAGCCTGGGTTACAAATTTCCACACACACCCTAAAAGATATCTACATGTTTGTACTGGGCTTGATCCAGCTCCTAATTCTGGCCTTATGGCATCACAAGGACCTACCCCGTTCTCAGATGTTAATCCCGAAGAGTCACAGAAAGAGATGCTGCAAGCTGCCAATCCCTCTTTTTGTGGGCCTCCTTGGGTCCCTAAATTGGGATAAATGGGCAGAAATATGTGAATTAATTGATTAATTAAACAAAACCCTTGTTTACAGAAGACTTCTCAGACACCCAAAGAAAGGTCTGTATCTAGGTTCTGGGCTGCTACTGCTACCATTGCTACTGACACTGTTTCTGCAAAAAGAAGTCTCATGAGTCATGATACTGCAACAAGAAGTCTCAGGAGTCATGATATTGGTACTCCACATGCTGCAAATGGAACATGGGTCCAAGTGATGGCACCAACCAGTTCCCTCCCAAGTCCTTTCCCCTCGCTCCTGACTTTCTGATATGCTAACACTGTGCAAAGGGGTTACACAGAAAAACAATGCTGTGCTAAGCCTAGTGGGCCCTTTTGCCAGCCAGGAATGGATGGAGATAGATGTCCAGGTACTAAACTCAACTCCATACAAACATCAAACTTTTTTCTCCTTCAGTGCTGCTTTCTGTGAGATTTACCTCCCCACCTAGAGACCCAGGAAGCATAATGATTTCCTGAGATTTCAGCTACCATGAGAATCAGACATTCTTGGTCCTATTTATATTCCCTTCCTTCTGAATTTCTTGTGTTTTTTTTTCTTCACATTCTGTGGGCCTGTTGTAGGGGAGAGAAAATGCACCAACCAGCCTTGAACACTGGCAAATGGGGAAGGAAAAGCAGGCAGGGACATTCTTCTCATGGGGGAGTAAAATGTATTTTTCCCCTTCTCACTCAAGTTTCAACATGAATGAATGGGGTGGAGGTGAAGCAGTGTCTGAGAGAGTGAACCCCTGCCTGCTTCTTTCCTTCTCTGTGTGTTTGTTTACTTGTCTCTGTGTGTAGAAATATGGATCTTCACCCCTTGAACCTGGTGTTCTGCCCTGTTCTCATGGGCAGGAGCACCGTGAACCTGAATCTCCCCATCTGTCTCTGAAGAAAGCAGTCCAATTTTTAAGTGTTACCGTACATTATTGCAAAGTTTGCCTTTATCAGGCCAAACAGGTCATGTCGTCCTCAGAAGGTCAGTATGGAAGGGATATGTGGCAATAAAAATCAGGGCCAGGGTTAAAGTAAATAGGGACCAAGTCAAGACCAGAATACAGGCAAGTGGTGACAGGCCAGGAACAAGAAAAGATGTGAAGCTAAAAGGCAAGAGGCCATCCAGCTCCCAAGTATCTCACTGGCCGAGGGGCCATCATCACCTGCCTCTGCTGGTAATAAAAATCAGGGCCAGGGTTAAAGTAAATAGGGACCAAGTCAAGACCAGAATACAGGCAAGTGGTGACAGGCCAGGAACAAGAAAAGATGTGAAGCTAAAAAGCAAGAGGCCATCCAGCTCCCAAGTATCTCACTGGCCGAGGGGCCATCATCACCTGCCTCTGCTGGTCTTCTTACAGCCTTCCTCTCTTACTGGAAAATACAATCTTGCATGCTTCTCCTTTTAAAAGCTGGCACCAGTGGTGAGCACAATCTGAACATGCTGCTAAATGAGGCTGCAACCGCACTGACACATGTTTTGGGGATTGCTCTGCAAATACTGCGGGTGAATCTGAAGTATATTTCAGTCATCGTATGACACAATGTGAATCAGCCTGGCCCTTTTTTGCTTCTGGTTCGGAGGTTTTCCCCTGCTATCTTTTTAAAAAGTTGGAACTATTCAAATAATGTTTCCTCTGTGAGATTGTTTGTTTCATCCTACAAAAGGATAGAGCAGAGGCCCCCAGCC